CTATATTTAGTGATTTATTTGTCTTAAACGATGTGTTTTTTGAGCTCAATATTTATTCTTTTATATAGATTTTCGATTGTTGTTGAGGAGTTTACTTTATCTAAAACTCATTTAAGATATTTTATGTTTTTTATCTGGCTTAATAAGCTGCAAATATTGTTAATAGCATTTGAGACAATCAATACAAATAGTTAGCAATTTTACTGGAATTCAAATTAAAAATTTAGCTGTATACCGTTATTACAATCCCTAAATTACAAGACTTAAAACACATAGTAAAAAAGTATTCAGCCAAAAAAAACAAAATAAAATAAAGGATTATTAATCCTAATTGAGTAATAATTTACCAGGTGATTATTGGTAAGCTTTTTTAAAAAACATACAAATCTTACATTTAGGTTTGCTAGCAACATAAAGTGTAAGAAATAGGAACAACTGTAATAGATTTTTAAGTAAAATAATGACTTTGCCATGTTATCATACTTAAAGTTTTAATAAACCAATCTCGGTGATGATTTTTATAAAAAAGTGAACAATAACAAAGCGTGAATGTAAGTATACATTGCGCATCATTAATTCCACAAATACCCCATCTTTTGTGATGTTTTTTGGTAATGCAAAGAAATTGTTTAGGAATACATGCCTAAAATATGGTTCACTAAAAAAACATTTTAATAGATCCAAAAGTGATTAGTTTGACTCAGCGCGCTTTGAAAACTTTTGTTTTCTTTTTTACTTGTTCCAACACTTAAGAAAAATCAAAAAAGAAGGGTCGCTAATTAGGAATAACATACTTTACATTTTCACATTGCAGTATTGGATGCATGTTTTAGCAATAAGATAGCATTTGTAGCATTTCCATTGTAAACACATTTTGCCACATAAAATTATATTTGACAAAAACAAAGTTGACTTTGCTGGGCCAAGTGCTAACACTGTAACTACTAACATAATCTTTACTGATGTTTTGAGATCGAAAATCATTCATAATCTTTTAATCATTCAGAATTAATGAAAAATAACTTGCAAAAGCTGATATCGGTAAAATAAAAAATTATCAAACTTTGTAGTGGATTATAATTGTAATCTTGTTATGTAATTAACAAATATAATAATAAATACATTTCTAGAAACCTCTTTAAAAGCAGGAATTATCAGATCATTTTCCTATTTATTTTTCATTTTCTCAGGAATTAAGAACCTATAACAATCCTATAACCAAAATTTATAAAAAAAAAAATCAATCAGTTCTCTATTAAAACTTTTAAAGACTTGCTATTGGTAGTAAATTGGTATAGAGTGTATCAAGAATGTAATCTTGGACACACAAACTCTGCATACAATTTATTTATAAATATTTTTTTAGATCATTACAATAAACATTTCCCTGTTGAAGAGAAAGAAACAAAGCTAAAATGTTTAAACTGTCCATGGATAACTAACGGGATTAGAAAATCATCATGTATTTAAAAAACAGAAACTAACTTAACTACATACAAAATATTACAAAAATCAATTTGAAAAAATTAGAAAGAAATCAAAAAAAACATATTATTCAAAACAATTACAAAAAAGCAAAAGTGATATTAAAAAACCCTGGAACATATTAAAGGTAATAATAGGTTAAAACCATACAAAATCAAATAATTTACCCAATAAAAATATCGTTAACAAAACTGAATATATCGACAAAATTTTTATTGCTGAAAGTTTAAATAGTTTTTTTTGCAAACATAGGCCCTAATATGGCTTCAAAAATTCAATGCCCTGATATCTCCTTCGAAACCTATATCACAAACCAAAATTTCTGTTTAATTATTTTCTCTGGACTAAACCATAATGAACTAGAAATAGCAAAAAACTTGCTAAAGTCAAATAAGGCTCATGGGATAGACAAGATTTGTAGTTATTTAGTTGTAAATGTGTTTCCGGTGATAAAACAACCAATCTATGAAATATTGAAATCCTCAATTATTACAGGATTTGTACCGAATAAATTAAAAATAGCTAAGGTAAACCAATATTAAAAACCGGGGATTCATTTACACTAAGCAATTAGGGACCTATCTCAGTCCTTCCAGTATTTTTAAAATTTTTGGAGAGAGTAGTATACAGTAAACTGTATAAATATCTAACAAATAACAAAATCCTAAATGAAAAAAAGTTTGGATTCCAGAAACAACATTCAACCGAACACGTTATTCTTGATTTTTTAAATAATATAAATGACTCCTTTGAAAACAAAAAATACGTCCTTGGAGTTTTTGTTGATTTATCTAAGGCGTTTGACACAGTAGATCACGCTATCTTAATTAGGAAAATGGAAAAATATGGGATAAAAGGTGTTGCGCTAAACTGGTTCAAAAACTTTTTACTAGTAAGAAAACAACCCAGACAGCAAGTATATGGGTTATTTTTTTGGAAATTAGAAATATGGCAGAACTAACATTACTTAAAAAAAAACTAAACAACCACATTTTTTTAAAGCAGCATTGACGTGCACTTTACTAATTTTAATACTTTTTATACTTTTTGTTATTTTCAGATAATTCTTTTTTAAGTTTTAATTTTTAAACAGGACACACGTTGATAACATTTTTTATAAATGAAAGTGTATATCCTGTATAAATATCATTTTAATAGCAATAATAATAATATAATTTTAGTTTATTATATAATAAAAATTTTATGTAGTTGGAAAAACCTGAGAATAAATGAATCAAAAAAAAAACCCTTATGAAAAAACGGGTCTTAACTAATGGTGGTCACTACCAAAAGATTTTTTCCGCAACTAGAAATAATTGATTTTATTTAAAAACCAAATTTTTAAAAGCACAATTTATTTAGGTTCCTTACGCGTTTGCCACTAAATCTTGTATGTGGTTTTCATGCAATAAGCATTGAAGTGCAAAATGAGACAAAGCTCAAAAAACGGTAATTAGTTTGATGTTGAAGTTTGGTTCTTGCAATTTTTCGCATTATTTTTGTTAATTTTTTTCAAGTTATTGCAAATAAAAAGTTGCTATTTTTTTCTCGCCATTAACTAGGTAATGGCTAAAAGAGTTAAAGCAGCTTTTTTTTATAAGAAAACGTGAACGAAAGTGTATGTAAATATCTCACGTATGTAACCTTCAAATTATGTAATATTAAAACATACTAAAACATATATCAAGTTTTACAGTTTGGTTCGAGTCCAACCACTGGCGACCTTCATTTTTAAAATTTTTTTTCAGATTTTTAAAATACAAAATACTTGTAAAGTTTTATGAAGATTATATAAAAACAAATCTAACGATATTATACACTTTAACAAACAAAAAGATTTTTAAAAAAGCTAAAAATTCTAAAAACATTAAAAAACGGGAGAATATTTGTTGCGTATGTGTCATAATTGAGATACTTATGATTTTTAAGTTTTACATGTCAAGTTTTTTTTACTATTAAGTTGAGTTTGTGCAAGAAAAACGAGTATACAATATGTTTATATATAAAACATAAAATCTATAGTTGTTTTGATTTGCTTTTTAAATAACAAAAATCAAAAAATAAAGCAAGCTGATGATTTGAATTTGCCACGCGGAGACCTCAACTTTTTTAAAACAGTAAGGGAGTTTGAAAAGTAGGTTCAAAAGGTAGTTTTAAATATTGATACAATAAAGAAATTTAGAGTTTTAAAGTTATTTCACCACGTCCCGTTAAAATAGTATTTCACTCGATTATTTTTTGACTTTATATACTTTTTGGCTGATCCCTAATCTAAACTTCTAAATAAGGGATCGTCCATAAATTACGCAACGCTAAATTTCAATAACGAACAAAACAAAAAAAGTCAAAGTTTTTCCTCGCAGGGTTGTATGTTAAATAAAAAATCAAAATAGCTCATCAAGTTTCATGAAAATTGTCACCTAAAAGAACTGAAGATCTCCTTCTTCTTTTTTTAACAACATTTTGCGTTACGTAATTTGCTGACAATCCCTCGGCATTTTATAGTCTATAGTTTTTAATGGCTATATCTTCTTAGTTCTGCAATATGTATAGCGTTGCGGGTGGCTTAGGAAATTTCAAAATTAGGTTGAGTATAACTCAACCTAATTTTGAAGTTTCCTAAGTCGTAGATTATGACATTTTTGATTTTTAACAGACAATTTTTGATTTTTATATTTACACCTAATTAAAACTAATATTCCAACTTACAAAATGGTTGACATACTGAATTTTTAACCTACTAAATACTCAACCTAGCGCGTTTTCAATTTTATAACTACGCCTTTCCGGTATGTGTTTTGTATATTTTGTTATTGATTTAAATAAATTTGATTGAGCCAAATTTGATGAGCCTTAGTGCATTGTGATTGAAGCGCTGTCTTCAGAATCCGAAGGTATAAGGTTCAATGAATGATTGGAAAACTTATTTATTGTTAATTTTAAAAGAAACTTTGTAGTCTTAAAAAAACAACGTTAAAAATTCAAACCAGATCTATTAAATAGGAAAGAAAATAAACCGGTCGAAAACAAAAACGTCATAAATCGATTGAAAATAAAAAAAATTATTGTCGGTTGAATACAATTTAGGCTTCAGTAGGTTATCTGATAATTAGTTCCACTTTTTTAATAGATATTCTATTTGTAGAACAACTTAGTCGGTCGATATTTTTGTAGGCTAATTATCTGACATTGCGTTGCGACAAACGTCTGTAAAAGTAAACGTCATTAGCATATGTTGAGTTTGCAGAAAGTATATGTAACAACCGTTTAAAATAAATCTGTAAAATGAGAAAACGGAAAGCTAGGATATACATATAAGGAAAAAGTATGGTAAAGGTCAGTGTAGAATAGAGTTACAAAGACCCGTATTTTTACGGGTCAGATTAGTTTGTATTGTATTATTTACATTTTAAATTAGTTTCTATTTTAAACTTTTTTACACATAAATATTTTTTAAATTTAAATTTAAAAAGTATTGTAAGTAAAAATAATAACATGTTTTGATTTTATAATACCTTTCATCTTTTATTTTTAAATCAAACAGGATACGAAAAGTTTTAAACAGTCTTCTTGTGTTTATATTAGTTAACTCTCTTACGTTTACAGCTTTATCAACCAAGTATTCTAAAAACAAAAAAACGTTTTTTAAATGACTATTTACTTTTCAAACACTTAAGAACAAGGTAATTTAAAATTAGTTACATAAAAGTAATTATTTACTTATTTTTAAACTAAAACTGATTACCTATTTCTTTATCAAATAACAACACATTAGTGATCATTAATTGTTTTAATAAGGTTGCATCAAATTGTATAAAAGTTTTGGATGAAGATAATGCGTTTTCAGGAAATTCATTGTTACTGTCTTTTTCACATAACTGATCGTCAATAGTGAACTAAACGCAAATTAAAAAAAGTTTAATCTCCAAGAATTTCATAAAGTTTATATCATCTTAAAAAATATTCAAAGTAAATTAAAAAAAAAAACAACTGTACATTTTCATTATGAAAAAAACTTACATTTTGTACATCCATTGAATTTTTACTTGAATAGTGTACGCTTCAAGTAAAAATTCAATAAAAAATGTTACAGTCTTCACTTTACCCAGCAAACATATCAGCGTTGAATCAACGTTGAAAACCAGTCGCAGCGTAGACAAAACGTTACAGTCACAAAAACAACGTGCTTTCAACGTTGAATCAATGTCTGTTTTTTTATACTAAATCGCGGTAAATTGAAACGTTAAATAAGCCTTGAAATTGTAACGTAATTTACCCGGTGGGAAATCGGCTAGCGAATAGTTACCTATATTTGTAACGATAAAAGCAATTTGGCCACTAGGATTGCTAGCTTTTTTAAGTTGGCAAAAAGTTACCGATATTTGTAAAGATAAAGACAGCGATTTGGCTGACAAAGGACAGCTAGCTGAATAAGCTAAAAATCCACTGGCTATTGTAGCTTAGGTCATATCATAAAAAAATTGTTGTCTAAAAAATTTTGATATATAGCTACCAACCGGCTATAGATTTGTAAATATTTTGTAGCTAGCTACAAAGCTATTATATGTAGCTAGCAACTCATTGTTACAATATCGCAATAATTAAAGTTCAATTAATCTCATAATTATAATAGATTCAACACTAAAAATCAAATTTTTTAAGATGTTAAAGACATTAGGAAAAAAGAAAATAAGAAAAAAAAAATCGCATGAAAATTGCTATAAAGCCAGCTAGTCACTTGCTAGTAGCTAACTCATTTTCCACCGGGTAGCTTCTCAAAATAAAACGTTTATTCAATGTGGAATCAACTAACGCAAAAAGCCACTTTAAAAACGTTTCAATAAAATGCTTAACTCATTTAAATATGTTATTTCTTAGTTAGAAATAGTACTTAACTTTAATAAGATTCAGATAAATAAAGTAATATCAAAATTAATAAAATATAGTAAGTCAGACTAAATTTAGTCTGTTTACAGACTTAAGTTTTTATTTTATTTGATAAATATTGAATACCTTACCCTAACTATCAAGTAAATACTTCAGTATAAAATCTGCCACCAATAATGAAAGTATGCATTATTCAGATCATTTTGTATAAAAACACGTTTAAATAAGTAACTTTATTTCCATTTTTAAAAAGAAGTTTTAATTCTATCAGGAAAAGTATCAAGTCCTAATTATAGAGTTCGTTTTGTATATTAAATTCTAACATTTATTCGTTATCATACATTTTTATTTACATTAATTTAATAATATGTATTTATGCATGTATATATGAGTAAATTTATGAATATATATAAAAGAATTTTTCTACAGATTGTACAGTTTCTTTTATATTTGTTTGATTCGTACAGGCTGATGCATTGGCATCAGCCCTAAATTTGAACTTTTAGTCTTTTCTTTATTTATAAATAGATTAAGGAGCCTCTTATCATAAGTTAATCAAAAATATTTTGACAGGTTTAGTGGTTGCAGATATGTCTATAAATCTCAATTTATTGAATACATATATATATATATATATATATATATATATATATATATATATATATATATATATATAATATATATATATATATATATATATATATATATGTATATATACATATATATATATATATATATATATATATATATATATATATATATATATATATATATATATATATGTATATATACATATATATATATATATATATATATATATATATATATATATATATATATATATATATATATATATATATATATACATATATATATATATATAAATATATATATATATATATATATATGTATATATATATACATATATGTAAATATATATATATATATATAAATATATATATATAATATATATATATATATATATATATATATACATATATATACATGTATATATATATATATATATATATATATATATATATATATATATATATATATATATATATATACATATATATATATATATATATATATATATATATATATATATATATATATATATATACATATATATATAAATATTTATTTATAGAAACAAAAATAATAATTGTTATGTCAATGCAGATAATGCAAGGGAGAAAAATTAATAAAGCAGTTATTTAATTATTTACAAAGTCAGAAAGTACAAATAGAAACAAATG